AACTTGAAACTTTCAAGTGGACAAAAACGACTGCAAAAGAGATCAGGCTGATTTCCGTCGCAGCTGATTTAATCAGCTTCATACTCGGTTCCAATAGGACATAGTCTATGGTCCTGAACTCCCAGGAAGGGTCCCTCTGTCAGAGGGACCCCCTGTGTAATTGCATCGAATCATCTTCCTATTGTAGAGCAGTGATACCGTCACTTCTTAGAGGTGAATCGTATTTTTCAGTGAAAACTCTTAACTTGAAAATGTCATAATCTCTGTCGAAATTGTGGATCTTCCTCTCGCGCCGTTTGTACTCGACTACAACTCAGGGAGGTTCACCAGACTTAGTCTCTCGTGTAACTGCGGCATTTTCAAAGGGGGAATAACAGAAGAGTCATCCGGGTTGCGAGAATTGGAGAACAATGTACAGCTCAACAGTGGCAGTTGTGAACGCTCAACGAGCGTTCATACCTCCGGCGCGTTGTCTTCATACTTCCAGATCAAAAACAGTCAGTGCTTCGATGTGTTAGTGACAATCGTGCGCTGCACTCTAGCGAACCATTCACAAGCTTGGTCTTGTATATAATGGTTCATAGCGATCTGTCCCGTTCGAGCTGACCTTCTATCGTCAGTTTTCTACAACTCTTTCAACTATCACCGTCAGCTAGGTTCGACAATTCGGAGAAGGCCTTGCTGTGTATGCAGCCGAAATTGATCAGTACTTCGAGACTCCCAACCACATTGAGCACTCAACAATAGACAGAACGTTGGAGGTAATACAGTTATAGACAGGATAGTGATAGTATTTCAATAACTGTAAGGTGAATCAATTACACATCTGATTGAACAAAACAGCGCCATCTCGTCGGGCGTAGTGATAATTTCCCCATAATTTTGCTAATTTTCAACATTTCTACAAAAAGCTGACAGTACATATGCCGTGAAATTCGTGGCGCAATGAAATATACAAATGAATTATAATCTTCTAATTGCCCACATTAACAACAATCTCGCTACTGTCAACGTCGGCCAACTGAGAACTTCCGGCTTCTCGCGCGGTCAACTTGAGGTCATCTTTGGCTTGTTGATTACTTGCAGGGGACACCGGGCCAGCCATTCTCGAAAGGCGGATACGACCCACTAGAGAGGCGTGATCAGATGTGCGGTTGCTAAAACGAAAACAGCCGGGATCGAACCCACGACCTCATGAAAGAGAGACGAACATCTTACGTGTTGTGACTATTGATCTGCCTCCTCAACCCTCGTTCTTCCCTCTTATCACCGCTGAGCATAGCCTTAGCACATGCACTTCTCAGAGGTACGTCTGCTCGCCACAACTGGGCGGGCGCGATCGTCACCATCATAACCTGTAGTACAAATCATCGGTCACATGGACACCTCTGAATGAAGAATCCGAGATTCACATTCAGAAAAATAAATTAACCCTCCCTAATCAGCTCGAGCGAGATCGAATGACCGAATGATTAACCAGTTTGAGGACCTCTTGAGATCTCGACCGGCTACTGCTAGCACTGATAGAGCTGAGACTGCTCTCAGCTGGCGGACGACTTTCGGATGTTGCATCTAAACACTCACATACAACTCCATACCATAACTTCGACATATCACGCCTACCTTCAGCGCCACTTTTAACCCATAGATAATCCAATCGCTTCGGACACGATGGGACGTCCTAACCAGACATTATTCCGTCACGCGCCACGAAATTCCACCAACCTGGTCACTCGTAACTCCATACTTCACCAGGCTTTCTTCACTAAGTTCTCCCCAGTCGCCCTCGTAACTCGGCGCACGAGGAAGACTTTCCTTCTCAGCGTGCATTTGCCACACATCCTGGAAGCCCGACTTAGCCAGGAAACTCTGGACCCTTCCGTAGACGCCAGAGTTCTGATTCACGCCGACGGGGCTGCCTTCTTCTTCCTCCTCATCAGACGATCTTGAAGTAGTGCATACTGTACGAGAGGTGGACGACAAGGCCTGACCATGTACTACTACTACTGCTACATATAAGTCTGAATCTACAAATGATGCATTTCGAAAGCTCTGTCCTTATAAGAAGGTAAAGTCCATACAAGGCCCTTCTCCCGCACTCATTTCAACTCGTCCAAGTGCCGAGATAGTTTATACGCTGATGCGGTGTTACAAATCTCTTCAACCACAAATCTTGTTTAACGTTATGAACTCACTATTGGCGGAATGGAATGGTGTACAGTAGTTGAACCACAATTTTGCTAATTTACATTTGTTCTACTACTTTAGCGCGCGCCCCATGATCTCTGCCAGTGCCATCAATGTTCCAATCGCCAGTCATAGCTGCTGCAGCCACATGAAGTCCCCTCGATGAGCACTCCTTCTCGAGGAAGGCCACAACATCGACGACAACTTTCTGAGAGAAAAAATCCGAATTCGGGACAATTTCACCCATAATCGTCGTTTCACAATCCATTACCAATTGAGCTAACTTGACATCAGGATCATGACCAGCATCGAGATGTGTGGTTACCACAATGACCACCTATATATAAAAATAACCAAAATCGTTCACCCATCACAGTACTGGAATAATATGCTCGCTCTCCTCAGCTGAGCTCAGGAACTTCCTCACTAATTACAGAGGTTTACAACGATTCCGCCGAA